TCAGCAGGGGAAACAGCACTTGTGGTGAGGATGGACATTGATTGGGTCAGACATAAAACTCATGCGTGAATTTGTTTTTAAAAACAGTAAATGAAAGAATTTCAAGACACATTATCTGCCTGAGCAGAGGGTGATCTTGCCAATGCCCTGGAAAGCTCCTTTTGGGAAGATCCACATCTACCCATGAGCAGGAGCACAGAGCACAGCCAGGATCACTGCAGGACTCGCACAGGAACACGCTGCACCATCCCAGCCTTTTCCTGAGCTTAGAGCTTTACACAACCTGTTTGTTACAGAGCTCATCTACAAGCCATGATTCCTGCATGTGAATTCAACTGTTCTCTGTGAGGACCCACTGGGACAGCCCCTGGGGGAGGCTTTTGGAGACGTGGTTTGGAAAACCCAGTGACCATGGAGCCCAGGCAGCAGGAGGAACTCACAGTGCCTCTCCGGAGAGCAAACTGGATGGAGTCCAGGTCAGCAACAGGGCACCAGACCTCAGCAATCAAGCACTTCTGTGTCACGTCGATGTTGCAGAGGTTCAGGGTGTGGTAAATGGCCTTCATCTTGCGCACTTTGATGAACCACACACGGATGCTCTTGGCAGCCGCCTGCAAAACCCGCTGGCGATGATCCTCAGTCTGGTTCAGCACCTTTCATGGGACAGGATGAAGATGGGGTGAAATCACTGACCAAAGCTCAAAGCAAACTCACCGCAATATCTGCTTTCCATATTAATTAGTTCTGCTAAAAGATTCTAAGGCTTCTTTCCAGGGATACTTTTTGACTACTCTCCTCCTCCAACTCGATGAATATTTCAAACAACGAACTGCTCAGAGAACATTTTTTCCTCCACCCAGGTTAAAAGAGCAGAGTTCTACCAGTGAGGGGTACACTGCCTTCAGAAAACACACAAAGATTACAATGAAAGATTTTTTTACTGAGGGGAAAAGGAGAAAGTGTTTTCAACTGAGGGTGTTTTCCAACTGGAACATGTCTAACTCATGCCAAGACATATTTCCAGACTGGAAAGTCTTAGACTCAAGGGAAAGTGAGGACACAGGTCAAATGCAGCTTTGAGTCCTACTAATTGAATTGCTTCTGAGTTCTTGTCTACTTTAACTCTGCTAAGCAGCTGCCCTACAGAAATCCCAGCTTGAGACAAGTTTCTGTATCAAATAAGCAGTCCAAATTAAACTGTTTTTCCTTTCAATTTCTGAATTTTTTCTTATTATTTGTCTCAAATCCCTTAAATTTTTCTGCCTTGTAACAGACTGACTTTCCTTCCACCAAGTATCTCAGAGCTGGAACTCAGTAGATCAGTGTGCTGATTACTTTTTACCAACACTCAGGCTGCTGCACAAGAGATTAGCTGTAAAGCAGAAGCTCTTTGGGACAGCACAACATGAAAATATGTAGATAGGCAGAAAAAAGAATAGTTAAGTTAAAGCTAGTATTGTTATCTCAACTTGGAAATAAGCTTAAAGGTTTTCAAAGTTCCTGCAGATGAATACAAGCAAGTTTTCAGAGTCAGAAAACATGCTATCTCCTTGTATGTGCATATTCCTCTCTCCTCCTGGCATGCACTTCTCTCTTGATGCTGTACTGATATATATGTATTTAACTGCTCAGCCCTCCAGAAAGATCAAAACATCCCACCATCCTAAGCCCTGACAAAGAAAACCACTGAGCACAGTCTCCAAACACCTTTCCTGCACTGCTGAGCTGCTGGTCTCAAACTACCTGCAGCTGAAAATGTGGCCATCTAATAGGGAAAAAAATCTCCTGTTTTGACAGGATCCAATTATGCTTTCAACTGCATTATCAAATAAAAAGGGGTCATCATCCCCAGTTATTTTACCATCTGAAGATCATCAATTCTGGTATTGACACCAGAAGCCATTTCCTTCCGCTCCTGCGGTGTTTCTGGGCATGGGTAGAGGGAGGCACGGAATCTGAAAGACATGCAAGCACCTTAGTAACACAGCACAAAGACAAACCAGCCAGGGACACAGATGGCTGAGCACAAATAAAGCAAGAAGTGCATTAAGAGAAGATTCTGATCAGCAAAGACTGCCAAGCAGAGTGTCAGTCCTTACATCAAATGGGTACAGAAGCTTGCTTGAGGCCAAAACAGAAGATGAATGCTTAAACAGGGAGAAAATCCTCTGTTCCCTGCACTGACAGTGTCTTGAAGGCTTTGTCACAAAGTTGATGAACCATCCAGGTCAGGGTGCTGCTATCATGCCAGTGCAGCTGCTGCTGGAGGCAGCCCCTGCTGGTCCCCCTGTGAGGATATCACCCACTGACATTCCACAAGGTCTGTCCAAGAGTTCAACACTGGAACTCCCTTAAGCATTCTTTAGCAAAGTACTCATCTACTTTGGGCATTACAGGCCTGGGGAATTGCTAGTTTGACTGCACAGTAAGTTTCAGCTACTTATGATGCATTTTATTTGCTGTCAAAACATGTACCCCTACAGCCCTTGTGCAGTGTCTCCCATTTCCCACAGCTGCCCAGCTGCAAGACTTTCATACCCCTCACAGATCTTCTTGACTCTGTTCTTCAGCTGGTCACCTTGGAAGAAGATGATAAACACAGACTTGTGCACATAATCCCCCTAGAACAGAAGAAAGAATGCACTATAGTAGCTCAGCTATTGACAGAAATTAGCATTATAGCAAAATACAACAGTGCTACTCTTCCTTCCTCTGACTCTGCCCAGACAGAGCTCCTATCTGCACAGCCAGCTACTGTACCTGTGTTTACTGAAGCAAAACATTCTGGATTATCTATTATCTACATACAATAAATGGGAAAACCTCGGAAGATTTCCAAAAGGACAGATGCAATTAAATATTTATCAACACTTTTTGCAGTCAGCTCACCTACAGAATCAAGCAAAAAGCTAAAGAGTGAATGAAAATAAGATGAAGCAGAGTTTAACTATTCTGCCTCCCCAGAGAGGCCAACAGCACATTCTTTGTACAGATGTTTTCATCTTGGTGGCTGGGTCCCCTTTCCTGCATTTGTTGACAAGTTATTGTTCTACCCTACTTAGGAAATTTTAACATAATGTTTCAAGAATAATTACATTAGGTGTAACCTCAATTTAAGGAAGTGTTGCACAATAAGAACAAAGTCTGTCCTGGTAGGCAGATAATTCAACAGGTCAACTACCACAGAGACAAGAGAACAAGTCAGCCTTGTGTGAGGAACACGGCGGCAGCTGCTGAGCCTCAGATCTTCTGCCTTTGCTCCAGAGCAGCCCTCATGCAGCCTCTCTTTCTACTGGTTAAGAGCTTCCAAAGTCTGAGCACTGATTTGAGCAAAGAGGACAAATTCAAATTACTAAGTAGCAAGTTAAGAAAATTGAAAGGTTCAAGTTCAGAGTGAAGGAGGTGCAGCTGTTACACTGCAACGTCCAAAGGAGCCTCTTCCCAGGAGGATCGCTGCTTATTCAGAACTTCAGGCAGGAGCTGCACTTGTGGCTTGTGCCAAGGAAGCAACTCTGCCCTGCTGCAATCCAAATTTTGAGTTGTTTTCCCCCTTTCCACAGCATTCATCATCCACCTGCTATTTTTGTTTTAAGAAAACGGGAAGCCATTTGTCCCCAGACCCCTGGAGGCTGCAGGTGGGTGCTGCGGAGGGACGCCCACCTGCACCGAGCTCACAGGGGGGGATAAAGGCTCAGACCTGTAAGAAATCCCTTTCACACATCTGAGGCCTTTGCTGCCGTGAACAACAGCCCCTTTTACCATCACAGGGTCCTCCAGGGGGTTCTCGATCTCCGCCTGGCGCAGGAAGACGTTCCCTCGGCAGACGCGCCAGAGCAGCCGCTCGAAGGTCGGGATCCGCTCCCGGTTGATCACACCGGCCACAAACCTGCCATGGGGAGCCCCGGGGTCAGCTCTGCACCTCCAGCAGCCCCTCACCCAGAGCCCCTGTGGCTGCTGCATCAGGTTGGAAGCCACAAAAATCTCACTTGGGAACTAGTTCTTTAGGCAAAACGGAGGGTTCTCTAAAACCAGAGATAAGAACTGAACCAGAGCACCTGCCCTGCAGCAGAGGCCTCTGAACAGGAGGAAACTGTTGAAAAATAAATACATCACTAGTTAAAGGAGAAACAAGTGGATTTAGACATGCAGTTTCCATGGGTTCCTGGTGTGCTACATGGTGAGGATCAGACCCAGGCACGTGGCTGAGAAAACCTCCCTGGTTCAGACCCTGTGTCCAGGTGAGGAAAGATACACCTACAGGGACAGCCTGGAGCTGCCAGTGAAGGGGATACAGAACTCTGCTGATTGTTCAGCCAAGCTCAGAATGCCTGGAAAAGCCACCAGAACAGACTGACAAGGAACATACAAAGCCCCAGATGTAAACTGGGAAGTCAATGTACACGGGATGAAACCAGAGAGCAGGGGCTGGTTTCAGAGCAGCCTTCATCTGCTCGATGTGTCACTCTGGGAAGTTTCACAATGGGGCTCCAGTCTCTGCAGATGCCACGGGAGGAGGCCCCCAGGCCCAGCCAGGAGGAAGCACAGCCTGCCCTTACCCGAGGCGCAGCGGGGCTCCTCTTCCCATCTCACTTGGTTCCAGGAGCGAAGAGGATTCCTCCAACAGGTCTGGATCCGCCATCTGCTGATGATGCAATTCAGCCTGAATTCACAAATCAATTAATATCTAATGAAACTAGTTAGTGGCATGCAGGGAATGAGGAACCAGGAGATAGTTTGGGGAGACAAAAAAAGGAAAAAGAACAAAGGAAAAAAGAAAGAGAATTAACATAAAACAGCAGGAAGAGGAACTAGATGATAGGAAAGACAGCAAGAATCACACAAGGAAGGAGAAAAACAAGAGGAAAAGTGGAATGGCTCAGCAAAGCTTCCATACAAGAAAGGTCTGAAGATTGCTGCAACAGAACAAAGGGGCTGTGGGATATGTAAGTCTGAAGAAAGGCAGAATTAAAAAAAAATAATAATTATCAAGTTTTAAATACAAGTGATGTTCCCAAGAATCACTTCTTACAGGCAAAAAGCAGAGTGACACACCTTGCTCTGATCTTTCCCTAAAATTTCCCTAGATCTGACATGGAGAAACACATGAAGGGAGATGCTGCTTCCCTCTTATTATAGAATCATGGAATGGTTTGGGTTGGAAGGGACCTTAAGGATCATATAGATCCAACCCCTGCGTGGGCAGGGACACCTCCCACCAGCCCAGGCTGCTCCAAGCCCCATCTAACCTGCCCTTCAACACTGCCAGGGATGGGGCAGCCACAGCTTCCCTGGGCAACCTGGGCCAGGGTCTCACCATCCTCATAGGGAAAAACTTCCTCCTAATGTCTAAGGGAAAGGAAGGGAAAGGAGGAGGGAAGGAGGGGAAAGGAAGGGCAAGGATGGGAAGGGAGTTTGAAGAAAGTCAAAGAAGTCAAGAAGGATCAATGAGGGGTGAAGAGGGAAAAGAAGGGCAATGAGGGGGCAAGCAATGATGTCTCCAGCCACCCCTAGGGATGCCCATCTCTCTCTGCTTGCTGGAGAGGGATTTTAAGGGAATTAGGGACTTATTCTGTGTTTCAATACCTTAACAGGTGTTTGAGCCAAAACACCTGCAATGTGCCCCATCCAGTGACCTGCAGCCCAGCAGTGCAGAGGGTCTGGGCTAAACTCAGCTCCCAGGGGGGGTTAGAGGGGCCTTGCAAACCCCCAGGGCTGGTGTGGCTGAGGTGGGGATGGGCGGGGGCACCAGGCAGAAGCTGGGACTGAAGCAGAAGGAATTGTGCTGTGACTGCATGTTCAGTGCTCTGGGGCTGAGGGCTGCCTGTTTCTCCTGCTGTCTCCCAGGGCCAGGGATTTTATCACCTCTGCTGGCTAACATCCTTCCTTCCTCTCCAGGTTCAGCTACAGCTCTTTGTTTTAAGTCTTTTTCCCCTCTCGAAGTGTCAAATTGATTTACATAATGACTCTTGCAGAACTTGTGCCTTTTCTGCTTGTGAAAGTTGCCAAGGGCACTTCCAGGGAGTGTCTGGGAAAGGCACCTGCATGTGGAGCAGCCTGGAGCCTTGTTCTATGCCAGAGGAAGGACCATACTCAGGTGTCCTCCCTAGGCAGCTGAACTGCCCTCAGTTCCACAGCTGGAACCCTAAAGCTCTGGGAGACCTGCCCTGTTCCAAAGCACAGGAAAACCCTCCCTCAGTGACTCCATGGCACTGCTCGTGTCAGTGTAGACACAGGCCAGAGTCAGCAAGAAAATCTGGAAGCACTAGCTGGTAATTTCTTAACTGGCTTGACAATGTTCTGCCTCCACACACAATACCTGCAGCTTAAAACCAAGCACTTACTGATTAAGCTATTAATTATTCAAGATACTTATCCTTATTCACTATGCTTCTTGTTGCCAGGCACATAAGATGCATGGCTGACAACGTGGCTTGTGTTTTGGCCAGTCAGGCATTACAACAGGATGGGAATTTATGTTGCCCTTCACTGCAACTGATTGGCAGGCTAAAATTCTTGGGAATACAGCTTGTAAGTGTCAGCAGCTCAAGGCAAGAGGGATGTTCAAATCACATCCCCTTGTGCCCCCTCTTTGTACTTAGCTCAATCTCATGCCACAATTGTTTCTACCTCTGCAGCTTATATAATGAAATGGTGAAAACTGCAGCTCCTGAGCACAAACCCAGGGCCTGACTCTGCCCCCCGTGGCAGCAGCAGCTCTTCCCACAGAGCTGCCCAGGGAACCTGGTCACACAGCCTGGGGGGCAGAGTCTGGCCCTGGAACAGGGAACATGCACACACAGAGCTCAGCCTTGCAAAAGCAGAGCAGGTTTAATGGCTCAGCCACGGCTCCTTTACTTATGCAACAGCTGCACCATCATGGCAGTGAGAAACTCACAGCGTTTCATTTATTTACCACGGACAGGAAAAGCTTTTGCCAGGCTGGCACCAACTGCAGCTCAACTGCCTGCACACACACTTGCTCACAGATGTTACAAAACCTAGGGAGCTCTTTCCCTTCGTTCAGGTTGGAAAGGCAAGGTGAGGAATTCCTGATACTTTCGACTTTAAGGCAACTTGTTGCAACATCAGAAACTGAACTAAAGTTTTGTTTCATAAAGAACAGAACCAAACCAAGAGATTGGTGCCCCAAACCACACAGACCAAACACACCAATGATTGTTTGATGTCCTGATTTCAGAATGTTGAAAAACAGTAAGTTACAATTTTAAGAGGCTTGTATTGTATTTATCAATAATAAAAATACTGTCTGTGAGAACTTCTGTGAGGTGCACCACATTTTTAGCATGTGAAGCATAAAAAAAAGAATGATGGCACAGGTGAAAACTTTGGACCCACCTCATTTGAGAGAGGGATTCCTATTAATGTTTAATGTCACGTCTGGCCTTTTAAGGCTCTGCCCTTTATTCAGGACACTGTATAAAACAAAGTCCTGCATAGAGGGGTTGAAATTATAAAATAAATCAGCTTTGAATAAATTTGGATTGAAATAGTTTTACTAAAGAAGAACTTTCTTACACAAGGATGATTTGCACAACAAAACCCCATGTTCTTTAAATTAATCTCTCAATTACTTGGATCTGATGATCACACCCTTGCTAGGAAGGAAACAGAGCAACATCAGCCCTTGTTCTGGAGGGACAACTGAAGCAGTGTTAAAGGATCTAACAAACAAAAACCTGAGAGATTATGGAAATGAAACAGTCATCCAGCTAAAATGCAGGAAAAAAAGACTAGGAAATTGACTTTGAGCAAGTTCTCACCAGCAGTGAGTGGAATATCTGAGCTACTGTGAGGAATTTTTTACTACCTCAGGTTGGTCAGGATTGGAAAATCTCACATCATTAATTAGAATGCAGACCTTTCACTATTCAACATTTTTTAACTGCTTATTGTTCACTCAGATCAGCAGCTTTAATCTCAAGCTCTAATAAGAAGGTTTGTTCTCCCTCCTCTGGAGTGCTGCACACCAGCCATACAATTCAAGCCCCTTCCAGACCACGAAAAAAAGCAAAAAAATCAAGTTTCACAAGAACTAAACAGGATTAATTTCACCATCTAACTTATTAACCCAGTGCCTGGACAGGAATGACAGATGCAAAACAAACAGAAAAAAAGCAGATGGTGAGAAGAGTTAGAGGAAAGACAGACAGGGGACTGCATGCCATTAACCATTACTTTTCCAGTCTTCTTTTACGCTCACTCTAGGCAAAACTTTCAGAGAAATCTCTCCAGCTCATACTGCTCTTCATAAGCAAAGACAAGAAGACTGAGAAAAGGAGCATAATCATCAACATGGTGTGTTGAAACAAGAAATGGCTCCTTGACTGCAACAGTCACAAGAAGAACAAGTGAGAAGGTTTTGCCATCCTCCCTCCCCCGGAGCAGCAGAGCAAGTGCCCGTGTGAGGTTCCCTGGGTAGAGCCATTTCTTGTGCAACTCAGTACTGTGAATAACACAATCTTAATCAGCAGTTATTGAAGTCATCAAGTGTTGAAGGTCTGTGCACGTGACAACATGGGCTGAAGTGTCCCCAGCTTGGGGACACTGAGGCTCAATGAGGCTCAGAGGTCCCTGCCCAGCTGTTGCTCCTGGCAGTGTGAGCTGACACACTCTGACACCTTTAACCGACCTGTTACTGACCCTCACACACCAGCTCTTCAGCAGCACATCTTGGTCGTGTTTTGTTTCATTGCTACAGGAAACAGTCACCAAACAGGCACAGGAAGGAATCCAAACTTCCCTTTCAGTCCGACTCGAGTTCCCTTTTCTGGGTGATGTGACAGATTGTTTCAGTAGAAATTGATTTTGATCTTTGTATTTAGCACAACTACCCTGTGCCAGAGGCAAAGCAGAGGCAGCTCTCTGCAGGAGCTGTACCTGGTTTTACTCAGCGCTCAGAACAGGCAGTGGCACCAAGTTACAGATCACCAGGTTTGGCCAAGGAAGCACTTGCAGTGAACATTCAACACTTGAAGACAAGGTTTTTTGTCCTGAACCAAACCCCAGGGCTGATCAGCTGATCCCATTGGCAGCACTATCTGCATCAGCAGCGACTGAGACCGGTGTTGGCATGGGAACAACATCAGTGCCTGATCAGGCTGCAGCCTGTGCCAGAAAACCAAAACCAAACCACCAAGCCAAGGGCCCGGAGCGGCAGGAGCCCAGCTCGACCCCAGCACAGCCCCTGAAGGGCCAGCAGCCACTTCTGATGGACCCTCTGATCAAACCCTTGCATTAGAGGAAACAGGACATGTCCTCAGCAAAAACATGTCCTCAGCTCTCCTAACACACAGGAGCTCTTTCATAAAACTCTGTAGACCTTGAGACACTTCAGCTTTAAAAAAAGGAGGAGGTCTCCTCCCGTGCAGGCTCTGTCTGCATCACCCATGACAACAGAGCAGCTCTGGCCCAGGGGTATCTGACAAAATGCTGAAGACTTTAAATGGCAGCTTTGCTGCAGAACCCACTGCTGAAAAATCCAGGGTTTGATCAAAGGCTCATATAAAATAAAAATATAAGTAATACTACTTCAGCAGACTTTGCATCATGACCCTAACAAGTAACCTCCATATAACATTTTAAAGTCTAAAATTAAGCTTCATTGCAATCCCACTGATTGGGATCAGTGATTGTTTATCAGCACAGGCATCAAAGACCCTCTTCCCCCCTCAATGAAGTGCTCCCTGCAGCACCCAATTTTTGGTTGATGCACTTTAAAAACTACCAGCATATTAATTATTGTACACAATTTTTAGACAAATCATTGCTTAACTAAAACAAAAACCAAAATAACATCATAGGAGGTAGATCATGGGTAGCTATGTGTACTGCATGAAAAATGGAAAATAATCAGAGAAGCTTTCTTAAACAAAGCATAAAAATGACCCTGCTGTCTGAAACAGCAACTAAAAATATATTTGAGAATAAAAATGGCAATTTGTGGGAGAAGAACCAGCTCCCCAAGTGTCAAACCCGCCCTGGTATTCTGACCTCATCAAAAAACTGCTGAGTTTTACGGAGTATAAATTTTAGTTCTGTCAGCTCCAAGAAATTCCTCTTCAGAGCTTCCTGGTTTGTGTTGATTTCTTTCAGCTCATTTTCAATTTTCTCAAAGTTTGCCTGCAAGATAGGAAAAGCAGAAGGAAAAAGGACTTAGAGCAATTCCCTAAGTGCTGGCAGGTCTATCAGAACATGAGAGGAGGAGAGATGCTCCTCATCCCCACAATTTGTGTGTAACTATAACAGCTGCCAGGGCTCACAGACCCAGACCTGTGACATTCCTTCCAGGCAACCTGGAACTTTTCATCCTCTGCCAGTCCTTTGTAGATTGGGTTTACACAAAGCTCTTCAAATCATGAAACCCTTTTGGGAACACTAACACAGACCCACTGCACACCGTGTGGTTCCAACAGGTTTGGGCTCATTTAAATGGGTGAAATCCAAGTGCTCCTGTGTCTGACTGTGTTTGCACTGATGCTTGTGAATTAAAATCCATCTGACAGGGGCTGGTGGAGCTGGAGGTGCCAAGTGACACCCAAGGACAATGGCTGTTGTACCTTTGCCACTAAACTCCATGGATCTCTACCAATGGAGCTAATTTCCCCTGTTTCCATCTAAAGTCAGATACTATTGAGTCTTTACACACATAATTACCTCCAAGTCAATCATGTCACGTGGAAAAGGCACCTCTGGGTTTTCACCAGTGTCCGTGATAGGAATATTTGCTTTTTTGATCTCCTTCTCAACAAACCCTGCAGAGACAGCACTGTTAATGTTAACTGGCTCAATGTCAAACTGCCTCCATAACCTCCCCCAGCCCCATCAGCAGCTGGGAATTCCTGCACCACCTTTCCCAAGGTTTTACTTGGTTCCAGCTCTCTCGGGCAGGCAGCAGATCCCCGGGGCTGCCCGGGAGAGGCCCCTGCCCCGGTTTGTGCCGCCGGAGCCGCCCCCACCGGGCACGTACTGAGCTTTCGGTCCATCTCCTCGCACCTCCGGACCTCATTGACGAACTTGCGCTGGAAAACGTTCACGTCCGGGTTCAGCTGCGGGAGAGACACGCTCGGTCAGGGCAGCCCGGCGGGCGCGGCCCGGGGCGCGGGGGCCCGCTCGGTACTCACGTCGCGGAACTGGACCTTGCCCAGCTCGCCCAGCTCGCTGACACAGCAATAGGCGGCCTCGGACTGCAGGAACAGCTGCGCCAGGGTCATCTCCTCGCTGCGGAACAGCTCCCCCATGGCGGCCGCTGCGGGAGAGCCT